TAATATAAATTACTAATAATACCTAAAAGCATAATATTATACTTTATTTAATTTAAAAAAAATACTGCATCAAATACTGGCTTAAAAATCTGGTGATGTCAATAAAGTCTAATCGATTATAAGCAGAGAAGTACATAGTTATCAAATAGATTTACGAAAAAACAAATAAATATTAAAAAATTGTGTACAAATAGAAGTAGCCTTGCCATCACTCCGACCAAAAAATGAACAAGAAAAATTATTCATGCAATATCTGTGACAAATCATTTAGCCAATGTAGCAGCTTAGCAGTACATCGACGCACACATAGTGGTGAAAAACCGTACGGGTGCGATGTGTGTGACAAATCGTTCAACGATAGTAGCAAGTTGACAGTACATCGACGCATGCACACTGGTGAAAAACCGTATGGGTGCGACGTTTGTGACAAATCGTTCAGTAATACTGGCGATTTGACAAAACATCGACGCACACACACTGGTGAAAAACCGTACGGGTGCGACGTTTGTGACAAATCGTTCAGCAATACTGGCGATTTGACAAAACATCGACGCACACACACTGGTGAAAAACCGTACGGGTGCRATGTGTGTGACAAATCGTTCACACAGAGTAGCCAATTGCAAAGGCATCGACGCACACACACTGGTGAAAAACCGTACGAGTGCGACGTGTGTGAAAAGTCGTTCTCTTCAAGCTCCAGTTTGACGAAACATAAACTTACGTGCATGGCAATCTGATCAATATGATCAAATATCCGAGATCCAAGGATTGTATTGAAATAGAATAAATCATATTAACAAATAATGTTTGCACTGATAATATATTGTTATTTTTTATATTTATAATGAATATATAATGAATATATTATTTAACACGCTATTTATTCATCATTTGTTCTTAATTTGATTACATAAAGATAATTCATACAAGTTATTCTTACAATATTTAACTTAACATATATACAATTCATAATAATCTACATATACCAAGCATAGCAGTGTGATAAGCTAGACAGTGATAACAATAACTATCACCGATCACCGTCGCAGAGGTTCAGTACATTAAACACTACAGTACGCATCACGAAAACATGCAGATGACCCCAGCGCGCCGTGTGTCGGTTTTTCTGTAAACCAGTGGGCCTCAATACATTAATATTTTAATATTATTAGTATTATTATTATTATTATTATTATTATTATTGTTATAACTATTTCTATTGTTTTTAATTAACTCACGTTTTTATTGTGTACAGTAAATTGTATTTTTTTTTTTTAAAACTCATTAAATACATACACATAATTTATTAATATAAAAATACGAGTTTTAAATTTTATATTTGGCGCGAAACAGTTAGGCCACCACCAACGAGAAATTGCCACTGGTCGCGCGGTGGTCATCCGTACGTTTTCGTGATGCGTACTATAAGTGCGTCTCTCTTCAAACGAATGCACTGCAGTTTCAGGAAACTAGTTTTATTATAAATTTAGATAAAATATATTATTTCTGTGTTTAACTATTTTAAAATTAGAAATAATACGAAAAT